ATATAGCTTCTTGGTTATTAAGTGTTTTCTAGGTGTTTGTAGTTAGGTGTCTTTTGATTTATTCTTTAGATTCAGGAGCTATTTTAATGTTAAGTCTTAAAACCTGATTGCTTTACATATTCTTAATTTACTTACTTTAACAAATTTGTTCCTTAATATTTAATGCTACCTCAATAATATGGACTAAAACTAGGGTGAATGTCTTAGAGGCTTTTTCAAGTGTAGTTTTAAAAATTATATTTAAGCATACAGTTAGAACTTTTAATTTGTCACTTTGCAGGGTTTTGCTTTAATGGTACAATCAAAACGGTAAGTGTGTATTTCTTAAATTCCTAACACTGTTAAGAAATATTTTTCTCACAAATGATTTCAATTTTTAAAAACTCTTTTTAATCTCATTGTAACAAGGTTAGTTAAAGGAGCTTTCTGCAATAATTAAAGTAAAAATTTTTATGGTTACATAATGTATTTATGGAGTACATGCAATATTTTGGTGCAGGCATACAATGTGTAATGATCAAATTAGGATAATTGGGTATCCATAACCTCAAACATTTATCATTTCTTTGTGTTAGGAACATTCTAAATACATTTTTCTAGTTATTTTGAAATATACAATGAATTCTTTTTAACTATAGTTGCTCTGTTGTGCTACCTGAACACTAGATCTTATTCCTGCTATCTACCTGTATTTTTACACCTAGGAGTAATTAATTTGTTATTAACGTTTTATGTGTGAGGAATGAGACAAATGGACTTAAAGCAAATAAATATGTATATGAAAAGCTATCTTTCACAATAAGTCATGTTTAATGTTTCCTAGAACACATAACATTGAGAAATAATGAATTTAAAAACTAGGGAAAGTGTAACCATGGGGGATTACTCTATTGAACAAATTGAATAAGACACTTATTAAACAATCTAAGTTTGTTAAGAGTGATGGAAAGTCCACCTAGCTTTTACTTGAGAATCTGAGTGAACACTATAATACTGTCTTAAAAACTTGATTCTATGAATTACAGAACTTAGAATTTTTAAATCATCTTAACAATTCTAGATTTTTAGGCTTACCTAAAAACATATTTTAAAAAATAAATCTGATGATGCCATTAAAAGTAAACTTATCATTTAGAGTTCATTTTTTTTATAGTTATGAGAAAACTTACCTTTACCCTGACTTTCCATTGCTGCTGTGATCTCTCAGGCAGTGTGCTTCAAATAACAGATTGTTCAGCGTTTAAAATATTGGTAATGATAGTTATCATTATTGAGAACAGATAGTGTACTTAGTACAGCACAGAACATACTGCACAGCCCTTGGCAGAAAGAAATTAGAAAATTCAAATAACTGACAGTTGGATAAACCAAATGAATAAAAGCAAACGAACTCAAGACTTGGCAAGAGCAATGGAGTACATTTAGCAATAAAAATACTAACATGTTTGTAGTTGAAACTGAAGCTGAAACAGCTAATAATGTTGGTTGTTATGGGTTAAATAGTACCCCCTGCCCAGATTCATATGTTGAAGTAATAACCCGCAGTATCTCAGGATGTGACCTTACTTGGAAATAGGGTCATTGTAGATAAGGTTAAGATGAGGCCATGATAGAGTCAGCTCAGTCCCTAATCAAATATAACTAGTGTCCTTATAATAAGGGGAGATTTGGACACAGACATGGTTTTAGGAAGAATGTCATGTGAACTTAAAGATGAATGTTGATAAGCCAAGGAGAGAGGCCTGGAACCCAGCTTTCCCTTCCAGCCCTCAGAAAGCACCAACTCTCCCAAAACCTTTTTGGACTTGCCTCTAGTACTTTGAGACAACATTTCTGTTGTTTAAGCTACTCATGTTGTAGTACTTTGTGATGGCAGCCCTAGCAAACTAATGTGATGGTTTTACAATACAAAGTATCAGTTTACAATACAAAGTATCAGTTTACAGAAAAGGATACAGGGTCTGTTCAAACGAAAAATGAAGATAATTTATATTAATAAGTCTCTATCTCAGAATGCTGAGGCAGAGAGATCACCTGAGCCCAACAGGTCGAGGCTGCAGTGGCTATGAGGATGACACCTACTCAAAATAAATAAATCAATAAATCTTTGTAGTAAATGTGAGATAGTAGATCTCTTAGTGGGCCTTATACTGCGAAAACACTTAATTTTTCACTGTGCACAGGTGTAGACTTTGCCACCTATGATATTGGAAAACAAACAAACACAAACAGGAAATCATAAAAAATAATCTCTGTAGAATGTCCTAAAGATTAAAGGTTTAGAAAAACAATCCAAAGGCAAAGCTGGGGAATTTGAATTATAGAAAATTCTCATTAATTTGGACTCCAGGAATTTGGAACTTTTGATAATTTAGTGAATTTTACTATTGTGTCTTAGTTACATTATTAGAGGAGGAATATTTAAGTCATTTTATATGCTGTTTTTAAGCATCTTCCAGAATCTTAAAGCATCACTATACTCTTATGAAATATGATGATATGCTGAATTTCAGTTGGCACTGGGCTAATGGTGGCTACTACAACACATCCTCCTCCAAAACTTGTAAATTCAAGCAGGAACACAAGTAAGCCATTCATAAAATTGCTCTTTTTAGCGTTACTAAGAGAACAAGGATGCCAGAAACTTCAAATTATCTGCAAATAGAGAAAGACACAGCAAATTTCAACGTTCTTGTTGCTGCTGTAAGCATGGAGAATTGGGCAGAGGAATCTTTAAAATTTGGAAAAAAGGAGAGGCAGAGGAGACCAGAGGAAGCCCAGTGAAAATCTTCCTCAGAAAGAGAAAGTCTAAAGTGTAAAAGTCTAAACAGAGGTCAGGTTTAGAAGTTCATAGCTCACAGCTCTGAATACAGAAAAGGAATCTGAACATGAGTGGGACTGAGGGGGCAGCCTTGAGAAAACATTACTTCTGGAAGAAGAAGATATATACAACAGTAGTGATCCCCTGCAGATACCTGACAATGGAAGGAAATAAGGAAATAACAAGGAAAATTGAGGGTCCTGCAGAAGTGAAAGAAAACCAAGAGCATGCCACTTATTCGTCCTCATTCCTAACAGCTCAACATCATTCATAAAATAAATAAAACTTCACTATAGTGACAGAAGAGAACACTCTTTTTAAAAATTGTTATTTTAAAGATGTGGGTTAGGTATACCAATGGTCATTATGCAGGTACCCTTGTTGATGAGGTAGAAGAACACTCTTGAACTAGTATTCCTGTGCATGAAATGCTTAGAAATAAGAAAAACCACAAATAAAGAATAAAGTAAAAGGTGTCCAAAGGAGAATGTATTGAATGAAAATTTAATGTCATTGAAAAAAGATAAGAAGAGTGAATATGACGAGGTAAAGAAAGACATCAAGAGGGTCAGAGAGAAAGCAATTGAAATGAAAGGCAAAGAAGATCTAACATGCATGTAATTGAAATCCTAAAGAAGAAAAAAAATTGAACCAAACAAATATTTAAAACTGTAATTCAAGAAAATGTTCTTGGGAAAATTGACTCAGAACTAACAACCCCAAGATGTATTGTAGTAAAGCTATTGGGCTTTAAAGACAAAAAACAAAGGATCTTCAGGAAAAATAACAAGTTACTTAGTGCCTGAGAAAATTAGACTGGCATCAGATTTCTTAAAAGTAGCATATAAAGGGGAGCAGCCGTTTCAAGAAATTCAAGGATAGAAAGTGTGAGTCAAGTATTTTATATCTAGTTGTTCTTCAAGTATCCAGGCTATTGAAACATGCAAAACTCGAAGAATACTGTGCCCATAAGACCTTCCTGAGGAATTTGCTAGAGTAGTGGTTCTCAAAGTATGGTTCTCCCGATCAGCAACATCAGCACCACCTGGAAACTTGTTAGAAATTCACATTCTCAGGCTGATTCCAGACCCTGAGTCAGAAACTTTGGAACGGAATACATCAGTTTGTGTTTTTGCAAGCCCTACAGGTTATTCTGATGTATACTCTACAAGCAGATGAACTTCTTCCAGCCGAAGGATAATTGAGGAAATTTTGGCATAGAACTGACAGTGAATTTTGGTAGTGATTGTAGATATAAGTCTAAGAAATGGGTAGAAATATGATTGGGAGAATAGTGTGTGAAGCATATGTATTGCCAGAGTAGAAAGAATACAACTAAAAATTGAGAGAATAAGGGACAGCAACAGGAGAAAGTAGAGTAAAATTATTAATTGTTGTGTAGATAATAGGTGGAAGTCAGAGAATACCACTGAAAGCTGTCAAACAAGGTAGTAAAAAAAATTGAGGGGAAAAAAAAAGAATTAAGAGCATCATAAAACATATAATGGTAGAGAAACTAGTAGAACAACTCAGTTAAATGCAATATGAGATCCTGAACTGAAGAAAACACAATATGAGATCCTGAACTGAAGTAAACTTGCTAAGAGGACTTTATTGGTAGTTGATGAAAGTAGAATGTAGATTAAATAATTGTATTAGTGTTAACCTGTATTTGGTAACTAGTGTGACTATTCAAGAGAATATTCTTAGGAAATTTCATGCTAGTGAATAGGATAAAGTGGTAAAGGGCAAATTTTGGTCCTAAAATATTGTAACAGCTTTATAGTTTTCTTAAAGCATTTAAAAACATGATTATTATTTACTTATACAGTATGATTTGAAGCTAACCAGAGATGAAGACATATTTGAATATTTCTTCACATCTCTCATCATACAATTCTATGATCATTTACTACAAACCCTGTGTGGATAAAGCAGAAAAAGTTTTGCATTGCGTATTTAAGCTTTTCTAATTAATCTAAACAGAACATACAGCAAATAAATTTAGTTGTTTCTTTTTAAATACTCTAAAACTTAGGACATTAATGTGAACTGACTTTCTCAGGGTAGAACTAGTAAAGATGAGTACAAATGGTATTTCTTAGTATTTTAAAACTCATTTATGTCAACTTTATTCCAATTTTCTAAACAATGGTGAAATACTCTTTTCTTTTCTAAGATATGGATGTAATGAGGCCCTTGATAAATGAGCAGAGCTTTGATGGTACATCGGATGAAGAACGTGAGCAAGAGCTTCTACCAGTTCAGAAGCATTACCAGCTCCATGGCCCGGAGGGCATCTCGTAAGTGTTTTGGTTTATGTTGTGTCTCCTTTTCATTCAGTACGTACTTTGTAATCTTCTTATGGGCAAGGCATTTTACTAGATACTGCAAGATACAAAGATGCATAAGACACAGTCTTCACCTTCAAGATGTTTATAGACTATTTGGGAAAGAAGAAACATTTAAATCACAAAGTAGTATATAGGAATTACTGCACTGATGATGTATATGGAGCACAGTGGATCTTGAAAGTAAGGGAGATCTGATTGAGACGAATAAGTATGTTCAGAGAAGTAGTTTCTGAAATGATAAAGAGTTAGGCATTGGAAGGTGGCAAACACTTCTTCATGATGAATGTGTAGTATGAAACAAAGTAATGGAAATAGGAAATACTGGATATTTTTAAAAACTTTTTTTGACATTTTATCATTAATAGAATTGTTTTTATTATAATAATTACTGCAAAATAGCATGAAATTCAGTTGATTAGAAGAGTATAAACAAAAAATTTAAACAAACTTTTTTTAAAAGACAAGTTTAAATTTTTTGCTCTTCTTAGTTTCAATTTATTTCTTCTTGGTCAAGAGACCTCTTTCAAATATTTCTCTAAACTATGTTTAGGCCAAATTCCTTAGGGAATTCATGATGACTAAAAGCTAACTAGTATGTATCTTACCTGATGATACCTATAGTTTTAAAACTTGTATTCTTTTTCTTTAAATTAACTTCTTCCTGGGTTGATAGTCATAGATCAAATGTGTTAATAGCATGATTACGTAGGCATTATCAATTAGTTACTGTTTTACCAGCTTAATCTTCAACATTGATCTGAAAATCATAGCAGCAAAGTATCTTATGATAAAATTACCTTTTCTTTATGTATTACTTTATTGTGTGCAAAAACGCTTTCACTTAACTGATTTATTCTCCACAATAACTCTTGGTATTTCATTTTTAAGTAGCAAAGATAGGACTTGAACCAAGTATGACTTCTGGCCCAGGTTGAATGGAAATGTTACTTGATTCCTTGCTTAGATTAATTTTCAGTTCCCTTTTAATACTAAAACCATGATCATGTGATTTTAATAGTTTTTATTCCAAAACATTTAAATCTTATAACTTTTACTTTTCAGATTTGTGCAAACTCTTATGCATCTTCTTAAAGGAAATATTGGAACTGGCCTTTTAGGACTTCCATTAGCAATAAAGAATGCAGGAATAGTGGTAAGACTTATCTTTGTGATCTCTAGCTAATACACAGTCTAATTTATAGCCAAAATTACCATAAGCTAACATCTAGCCTAGTCAGATACAATCTGGTCAAGTCACATTTAGATGATCATTTAGCTATTGAATTCATAAAATTGTATTAACTATGATAATACCTAACAAAAATGATTTTTAAAAATTTCTACCTAATTACTTTGTAAATTTAACAAACCTCCCCACAATCCTAAAGCGATTTAACTTTTTTTCCAGGTATGGCTTTATCTTACTACTCTTTTGAATCTGCAGAGAGTTAAACAGTGTACTCATATCAGCAAATATAGAGCCGATTATTTGTATTGTGGAATTGTATAGTTTTTTAGACTCCAAATAGAATACACATTTTTCAGGCTTAAAGAATAATAATTAAGAAAATGAATAACACTTTAAAAAAATTTAAAGCATTGTTAGAGATAATTATTGTAATTATTATAATTACTGAGAACCTTGATAGGAAAGAATTCATTTATGAAGTAATGACATTATATTTAACCTTTTTTTAATGGCTCAGTTTCTGAAAAACAGTTTTTAACTATTTCTCTGTATTTGACTATTTTATCTATCCTCATTAGAGTAACTTAAAAATTTTTGATTTTCTAAAAATAAACCTTAGCAATATTTTGGTTGTATTTCGATAACCCAGGCATCATTTTTATTTTAGTAAATAAATACTTGACATTTTATGTACCACTTTTTGAAGTAATTATTTTTAGAAAATAATTCTGACACCTAGTAATTAGTAATTTTTAGAAAATAATTCTGACACCTAGTAATTACTTAACAAGAGTCTTTCTTTTTTTATTTTTTATTTTATTTTTTGAGTCGGAGTCTCACTCTGTCGCCCAGACTAGAGTGCAGTGTCCGCTCCTGGCCACCGCAGCCTCGACCTACTGGGCTACAGCGATCCTTCTGCCTCAGCCTTCCAAGTAGCTGAAACTACAGGCGCGCGCTACCACACCCAGCTAATTTTTGATTTATTGTAGAGATGAGGTCTTGCCAAGTTGCCCAGACGGGTCTCGAACTCGCGGGCTCAGGCAGTTCACTCACCTCAGCCTCCCAAGGCGCGGGATTACAGGCTGAGCCACTGAGCCCGGCTAACAAGTCTTTAGAAGAAATGGATTGCTCACAATCCCAATTTGATATTATGCTTTTCAGTCATTTAGATAATGATGCACAGTTGCATATAATTATAATGGTGGAACACTGATAGTTGTATACTTGCCTTCTGGTATTAAATATGATATTTTGGTCTATTCTACTTTGTGACATATATATACATATACATACACACATACATACACACACATATACTCTATAGGTTTTAGTAGCCATGTTGATAAGATGGAATCATACACGTTTGTCTTAAATATTACTTGAAGTTCTTTCTGTAAGAAGTTTGTTTTCTCTTATGCAAATGACTATTTAATCATTTTGCCCAACTTATTGCTTATAAGGTTACTCAATTTTTGTTAAACCTAAATATTTAAACCTTATAAATTTTCTCTTCTACAGCTTGGACCAATCAGCCTTGTGTTTATAGGAATTATTTCTGTTCACTGTATGCATATATTGGTACGTTGCAGTCACTTTCTATGTCAGAGGTAAATGTGGATTTGTTAAGCCTATTTATTTTAAAGCTGTTAGTTTAGAGCATCAGATATTTACTGTGCTTTGTGTTTCCTTTACTTTGTTATGTAGATAAGTCTATGATAATGAATATGGAATAGGGTGACATTTCATATAACTTAAATATGGTTAGAATATATTTATTTTTAAGAAGTAGCCTTATTAATGAAATAGAACAGTTTCTCTTATTTAGTGGAAATAGAAAAAAGTCAGGAAAGGTATATAAAGGCAATGGAGGCAGGGGTTTGACTTAGTATAACAAAATGGTCTTAAGATTGTTATTGATTGTTTTTGGTATAATGCCATTGGTGTTCTTTACTGATGTATGGGTTAGTAGATAGTTATAATAATACTTTTGTTTCTTATTTTTGTATCGTGAAAGGCTTCCACTGGACAATAAAAAAATAAATATTGCCTATTCCAGTAGACTAGTCTTGACTCTTTTGGTTATGGTATGCTCTTTTAAACTTTGAATAAAGTATTTATGATCTTTAATAATAATGCATACTTGAAGAAAAGTGAGAAAATGGAGAAATAATACCTACCTCATGGGACTGTTTTGAGGATTAAATGAGGCAGTTTATGTGAAAATGTGTTGTAGAGCCCTATACAGATGTATTATTAAGTAATGCTGTTCTAAGAGTAATTTAGACATGAACAATGTAGTTGATATTTTTAGGTATTGGAAATATTTAACTCAGTGAAGCACAAATATTAGGTTATCTAGATTCTGCAGTTATATAAACCTTAGCAGTAGATAAAAATTAATACACTGGTAAAAGGATATAAACAGTTAAAACTTCATGAGACCTGCTTGAGGAGTATGCACATCTTCAGATTTTGGAAACTAGATTGTTAGTGCCTAGCCCAGCATTTATTAACTCCCATTTACTTGATGTTCTTTTTAAGGGTCTTTAACCAACTTAAAGATGTATTTTCTCTCTTTGTATGTGTGTCATTAAATTACAGGTTTAAGAAGTCAACATTAGGTTATAGTGACACTGTGAGTTTTGCTATGGAAGTGAGTCCTTGGAGTTGTCTTCAGAAGCAGGCATCCTGGGGACGGTAAGTATTTGCTTGTTATTAATATCTGGTTGTTGAAATTATATAAATTTTCACGTATTTTAGTCTGATAAGATATATTAATAAAAGTATGATAAAGTTGGGGAATAAACATAATCTTTAAAGTTAGGCAGACATGGGCTCAACTTTACTATTATTTGGTTTTATGACCTTGGTCAAATTATTTATCATTTTGGTTTCTCACTATAAAATGAATTTTAATAATGTGCACTTTACAGGATTATTATGATAGATTAAATAAAATGATATTTATGTTAAAATAAGATGGTATTTATATAGCATAAATGGAAAAACTCAGGAAAGCTCTATAGAGGTAGTGGAGGTCACCTCCAATGAAAATCATGTCCAGTAATTTTTTAAATAAAGGAAAAAATGGAAGTATCTCATTATTTCAGATAAAGTTACAATCTAATTATTTCAGATAAAGTTATAGTGTTTAGTTATATGCTCATAAGACATCTGAGGTATGGATATATTTTTATATAACTTTATTTTATTGTCTTATTATTTAAATTTAGCTTTATCATTGGTGGCTTTGGCTAGTCAAAATCCAATGGACACAGGACTAGAAAAATAAGAATGCATGAGCAATCAACAAAGTGCTAAATAGCTACAAATGATGTGTGAGGTGGGAATTAAAAGAAAAAAAACAGCCCAAGCTCAGTGACATGTGCCTGTAATCCCAGTGCTTTGGGAGGCCAAGGAGGGAAGATTGTTTGAGTCCAGGAGTTTGAGGTTATGATGAGCTGTGATCATGCCACTGCACTCAGCGTGGGCAACAGAGCAGGACGCTGTCTCTAAAAATAAATGAATAGATAAATAAAACAAGAAAATAGTGTTAGTAGTTTATGGTTAAATGTGGCCTTTTTGGGGGTTTTCAGGAAGTTAGATTTGTTTATGAGCTGCTCAGAACTCCTGATTTACGAGTAGAAGGAAGGAAATGGAACCTAATGCCCTAGGGACTTGCCCCCAGAATCCTGTCTTCTTCTTTCTTCTGTCCTGGAGTAGAAACAGTTATGTCTATTTGTTCTGTGAAGAATGCCTTTCAGATACAATTGTCTGGAATGATTATTGGTGGAACACTAAAATCAAAGGTGGATGAAGAAATATTAAGGGAATACTTTAATGTAATTCATCAGAGAGAAGAGACTTGGATTTACTTCAGAGTACCAAGATAACTTACATATGCGATCTCTGAAGAACCATGGAGAATGGTAGAGTTATGGCAAGGATGAAGAGAGGCAAGGGCCATTTTGATTTTAATGGGAGAAGGAGGGTCTTGTAGATCTTGAAGATCGTACTGTTTGTTTCTGATAGTCAGAGAACAGACTAATGAATTAGTGACTGCATGCTATAATAGTCACTCATTGTTCCTAGACCAAAATGAAGACATATGGGCAATATATTAATAATATGTAGGCAGATTTGTAACTTTGTTACCACCATACCCAAATAATGCTAATTTGACTGATGTCTCTGGTTATACCCTTTTCCTTCACTTGTACACTATTTTATGTAGCTGGAATTTTCTAGAGTACAATCGCTCCTTGGTATCTGTGGGTGATTGGTTCTAGGACCTGTCACTGATAGCAAAATCCAAGGATGTTCAAGTCCCTTATGTAGAATGATGTAGTATTGACGTATTATCTGCAAACATTTTCCTGTATACTTTAAATCATCTCTAGCTTGCTTATAATACTTAATACAATGCCTACACATCATGTCATTTGTGTGGATTCAATTTAGTACATTGTAGTGTGTTGCAAATTTAAGTTTTGGTTTTGGAAACATTGTGGAATTTTTTTCCCTCAAATATTTTCTATCTGGTTAAATCCATGGATGCAGAACCCACAGATATGGAGGGCTGACTGTAGCTCACTAAAAGTAAAAACAGAGAACAACCACTGGAGAGGTGTCTCATAGTAGAATTTAGAGCTATGTTTCCAATCCTCTTCCATTCTACATTCTTTGTTTGTTTGTTTGTTTGTTTGAGTTGGAGTCTCACTCCGTTGCCCAGGCTAGAGTGCAGTGGCACTCTCACGGCCACCCCATCATTGACCTGCTGGGCTTCGGCGATCCTTCCGTCTCAGCCTTCCAAGTAGCCGGAACTAAAGGCGTGCACTAACACGCCCAGCTCATTTTTTTTTATTTATTGTAGAGACGAGGTCTCGCCAAGTTACCCAGGCTGGTCTTGAACCTGTGGGCTCAGGCACTTTACTCCCCACACCCTCCCAAAGTGCTGGGATTACAGGCTGAGCCACTGAGCCCAGCCCATTCTACATCATATTAGTGATTTGGAAAGTAGAGAGCGTGCTCATATTTGTAGATGACATGAAGCTGGGAAGGATAAAAAATATATATACTAGGCTCACCTGAAAAAAGATCTTGAAAAGCAGGGGAGTTGGGCTTAATCTGAAAGATGAAGTGATTTTATAAGCAGATATCTGTAAACTGCTGAATTTCAGAAATAGATAATGATAATTCTAGTGACTTGACATACTGATCATAAATGTGTAATCTTTGTAGAAAATATTTTAAATGTTTCTTATTTAAGGAAGCAAAAAGAATATATGCTATTATAAAATACCTTAAAATAGTTAAGAGTGGTAAAATATATTAACATTTCAGCAGCTCTTATTGATAATTATTGTGGATATCTCTTTTCAGGAGTGTAGTGGACTTTTTTCTGGTGATAACACAGCTGGGATTCTGTAGTGTTTATATTGTCTTCTTAGCTGAAAATGTGAAGCAAGTGAGTATTTTATTCTAGTGAAATCATTTTTTTCTAATGCCCTAGTTATGGCATCATATTTCTTTTGTGGAAGCAATGGTTGAATATTAAAATTTTTTCTTTCAGAAATAATCCTCCTTTGTAGATTTTCCTTTAGTCTTCTATTTTGTTAATTAAACTTCTGTTGTTATTGTAGGTTTTACTGTTTTTGCCATAATATCAATAATGCTTGTTCTTTCACATCAGAATATGACATAATTTATTGATTGTTAGCTACTTGAAACTTAGATCTCAAAGGCATATACATAGATGCTGTGGGAGCATTTTCTTTACATTAAGGTACTCTAAAATATATATATATAATAAGACTTTAGCCAGCAGCCTAAAAAAATGAAGTAAAAAAATGTATGTTTACTACTAAAACCCAGTAGTTATTGCTATTGTCTAAAAATATACCTTGTGTAAAAATAAATAATTTTCAGCCGGGTGCGATGTTTCACGCCTATAATCCCAGCACTCTGGGAGGCTGAGGTGAGAGGATTGCCTGAGCCTACAGGTTTGAGAACAGCCTGGCGAGACCTCATCTCTACAATAAATTAAAAAATTAACCGGGTGTGGTGGCGCATGCCGGTTGTCCCAGCTACTTGGAAGGCTGAGATTTGGTGTTGGAAGAGGTCATCAAATCAAACCCTCTTTTATAAGAGTTATTTTAAAGGGTCATAGCTAGTTAGTAATCAGAGTTGAGTTTCCAGATCAATGTTCTTTCTGGTGTACCATGTCTCAGTATCTACAATAGTTTTGTTTGTATCTGGAAAAGCTTCAAACCTAGCTTAAAACAGTATCATATATAAATCATATGAAAACTTTTTCAACTGTCCCTTCCATACTTCCCATTTTTTCATCTCTTGCCAGAATGTATTGATTTTTCTCCTGGCTTCTGTAATACTTTTAAAAATAGCCTTGCTCATAATGTTCTGAAGCTAATTAGCAGGTTATTTTTCAGCACCAGACTGCAAGACCTGTGAAGGAAGGGACTGTTATTATATCCATTGTGTTCACTACTGCAAACTAGCATCTAAGAGTCCCGGATTATCAGTACCCGGTATGGCTATTGAATTGGAAAGGAAATGAACTCACTAGACTGGGAGCGTTTTCTTTTCATCTCTTTATTCTCAGACCTAGTACAGTACCTGGTTTATTGAGCAAGTTTTCAGTAAAATTTTATTGACTGAAAGGGTTTCACCCATCTGTCTGGTTTTCCCCATTGGTGATTTCTGCCATTGTCCTCGCTTGCATCCTTTTCAGACACCCTTTCTCCCATTTTCTCAGTCAACATTTCTCTCTCAGCACCTTCCTGATTGTTTTAGCTTAGTTTCTCACTTCCATAGCTATTTCTTCTGTGTCTATAAAAGGAATAGTTAGGAGATTACCTCTTAGATGCTGTCCACATCTGAGTCCCAATAAATTACATAGTTTTTCTTTCTAACCTCGTTATTTCTGTTTCCAAATATCCTCCTTCTAAATTATTTTTTCTGTCCTTTATTTTCCTACATACTGGCAAACAAGTTCTTATATAAACTTTTCTGGAAGACAAATCTGAACCATTGCCATTCGTTTAGATACGGGTGTTCCTTCTACAAATTGTAACTGTAGATTAGAGTGAAAGACTAGTGAGAGCAAGGAGAGGTGAGTGATGTGGAGGGAAGAGAAGAGAGTAATGTTTAGTCATTAGAATTCATTAGAGTCCTGGTTTTACTCATCTGTGTATCAAAATAAAATATCAATGCTTTCATTAACATTACTTATTATAGATGAGGTGATTTTGATTTTACACATATTTAATTCCATAAACTGCTATTCTTAGGACTCTTAACTTAATTAAGAGGCTGTTTATTGTCAACTGATAAGAAGACCATCTTATCAGTCATTTATATAGAATATAATGGAAATGATCTTTCTAGGTTTGTGCAACATAGTAGCATTGTCTTTTCTAGTATCTCCTAAGAGAGATAATGAAAAGCTCTATTTGAATTTAAACATAATGTTAATAATGCCTTATAATTTTACATTTGTAAGCTATGACATATATCATGTTATCCTTACAACTATGTTGTAAAATACTATGCTTGTTTTAGAATCAGGAAGCAGTCTCACAAAACATGAGTAATGTGCTCTAAGTCATGTGGAATTAGCTTGAAACCTAGGTCTCTATCACAGCTGCCACTCAATATGTTAGTTGTTCATCACTGGACAGGACATTGTCTGATTATAGTTGTGTGTATATGTGTGGTGTATGACATAAAAGGCAGATGAAATGGGTAAATGTCTATAGGCTTAGGATTGGTGACTTTCTCCTATGAAATATCATCAGTTGCTTCCAAAGTTGGATAAAAAAGTTTAACTCATTTCTACGTATCCTAAGAAGACCAGTAGAAAAAGGGACTCTCTGGGAGGTGAGGAGATTGCCTGCTGTACATAGAGAGGGGAAAGTCCTTTGGAGGCACAAAGAGTAACATGGAAAAGATATGCAGTCAGGCTTGAGAAAATGGTTGAGAGGGTCATTGATGCAACATGAGAGCAGAGATTTTCACTCTCTACAGAAGTTTTTTTTTTAACATTTGATAGCATATACATTGATAGACACACTGATTTTAAACCTTACCAATTGCTACTGTTACAGTTTTAGCATATAGACTTGTTACCCCCTTAGTGTACATAAAATGAAATGTGTTTCATTAACCCCCAAAATTAAGGGTCTCATTGCCACACAGATGTGCATACCTTCTTGTAACTGCCACGTGGCTGCCCTTGATCCCATCACCCTTATGTACAATCAGTAGGGGAAAGAGCACCCCTATGCTTCTGATGATCTAGTCCATCACGGTTAGTTACTCCTCTCTATTCTTACTTTAAGATACTATAGAAAACTTCAGGTAGATAGTGTATGTGGATATGGAAAGTGGGGAGGGAATACAGTATTACATTAAGAGGGAAGAAATGTAGTGATAACAAAGACCATTGACTGTAGAGTCAGAAGATGTCAGTTCAAATCTCTGCTTTCTCAGTTTAACTCAAATATTGGGTAAGACTCCTTTTCTCTGGGAATTTAAGTTGAACCTCAGGTTTGTTATTTGTAAAATGGGAATAGTAATAAAATATCTCCTTGTTCCTCATAAACTTATTGTGAGGCTCGCCTGACAAAAGGTTTATGAAGTCTTTGTAAAAATATAAAACAGTATCTAAACATAGGGTATTCTGACTTTAATTCTGCATTTAGCTTTACAAAAAACATACTGTCTTTGGAATTTTAACCATTAAATTACTGAATCATTGAAAAGCTAGTAAGTAGTGGATTTTAGTAAATTTGAGCTCAAAAATGGAAACAACTGAATTTAGTAATTTTATTTTATAATATTTATTTCAGTGTTTTACATTTTGGTAAACATGTGAGATCATAGGAAGTCCTATTAGATAGCCAATCTCTGTCTCTAGAGGGCACCAAAGGACTCAAATGTTTACCTGAATCTTGCTGTAGGTATGTATCGACATTTTTATTTTATTTTATTTTTTAATCCTGAGAATTTTTGTAACCATCTTTCTGCCAAAGAGTGCTAAAATATTATAGGATATTTGTGATAGAATTAATTTTAAATCCCCCAGAACCTAATAATGATTCAAGTAGCCCTTTAAAAAAATTGGTTATGTAACTGCTTTTCTCTTGCTATATATCCTTGTTAGAGCTTAACTTTGATCATCATCTAATCTAATTATTGGGAGTACTACTTTGATAAGAAGTACTTGGCTCTAAATAATTTAGTTACTAGAAAACTGAGGCAACAATAAAATATGTTTTTAAAAGTCAAGTAATGTAAATTACCAACTTTGCTTTTATTTCAAATTATAGAAAATAAAATTTAAAGTTTTAATGGTCAGTTACAAGGTAATTGTGAGCCATGCATTTCTTAAATGGTACATGGTGTAGCTTGAGAGTCTTTTGGACCAGTATGAATTATAAACTGCCTATATAGGGTAAAATGCTAGAAGATATATTCCCTGCAGCCTAAGATGATGTGTACATTTGTAGTGGCACTAACATTGCTTTATTGTGAATTACAAATATAAAATTAAAGTAAAATAAGCATGAATTATTAATCATGTCAGAATTTTGTTTAATCTTCTGGTTTGTTGACCTCTTAATACTTCATACATTTAAAGAGAAGTGTGTTAGAGTGGAAGCCAGGTAGCTTTTTGGGTTGGGTCCCCATTTCTGAAGTGCATTATTTTGATCAGGTTAGCTTGTAGTTGTTACAAATCAGATTCTGGAGTTACAGGCCTGGGTTTGAATCCTAGGACCATAATTTACTGACTTGATATTATACACGTGTTTTTAAATTTCTCTAAACCTCAGTTTCCTCAACTATAAATTGAGATTAATACTACCACCTGGCCAGGCTCGGTGGCTCAGCCTGTAATCCTAGCACTTTGGGAGGCCGAGGCGAGTGGATTGCCTGAGCCTGCAGATTCAAGACCAACCCAGGCAACTTGGCAAGACCTTGTCTCTACAATAAGTTAAAAAAAAAAAAAATTAGCCAGGCATGGTAGTGCACGCCTGTAGTCCTGGCTATTTGGAAGGCTGAGGTGGAAGGAGCGCTGGAGCCCAGCAGATCGATGCTGGGGTGGCCGTGAGATATTGTATATAAAACATGTAGTTCAGTATCAGATACATAGAAAGTATTCAAAACCACTAGCTATTATTATTATAGGATCTTAAGAATTGTTAAGACTTGAACAAGATAAAGTTAAAAAAAAGAAAGAAACAATAAAGTAACTACAAAAAAAAATTCTTAGACTTGATAATGTCAGTGTGTTTGAAGGAGGGTACACTGTGTTTGGGACAAATACATTGTCATTGGTATTCAAATTATTATATGACCTGCCTCTTCTGTAAGCTTTTAAGATTGTCTCTGAAGTCCTCTATAATTTCATTTCTATTTTAGCAAGTTGGATTATGTAGCTAATTGAATTAGAGACAATTTTTAATATATAGACCCTGTAAATTTTTGTATTTCTTTTGAATTCTGAAAATTGGGTTAAAGAAGTGGCTGAATATGTTTTAGTATAAAGTTAATTTATATTGTGGAAGTTTTTTGCTCTAGCAAAAAATTATCTACTGTCTAACATATGGCCATGCATGAATATGGTGGATTCTTAATAAATATTTATTGAGTGATGCTAATGTATAAAATAATTGCTTTATAAAAGTTTTATTTTCATTTAATTTTAAAATTTTGTTACAGAGATGTGGGGTACAAGTGAGAATTTTTATGAAAGTGTTAAATTAAAATTTAGCTATGATTTGTAACTTTTATTTTGACTAAAATAAAATTCAGCTATGATTTGTAACTTTTATTTTTAAGAGGTACTTAGAGCTTATTTCCTCTCTGAAGAAGATAAATTGGAGTAAAATACCCAATGGCTATTCTAGACAAGCGTGTTCCCAAGTTTGATGATCTCAAAAACAGTCTTTGCAGGGATCATGAACATGATAGTCCTAAACTTCAGCATATATTAGTAAATTCAACCTTATAATTTTCTAATGAACTTTATTTTTACAGTATGATAAAAGAAATTATCTTGCAAAGAAGATTATCCTAATTTAGTTATCCTTACATTTGATTTATATGTTTCTGGGAAGCCAGAGTGTCTTTTAAAAATGTAAATATTTTATTTATTACAAAGTGTACTGTAGGAATCTATCATAGAATGCATAGCTCATAATTTTATTTGTATGTCTCTTTTATGATGATAAGCTGATGGAAGTTTTCCCTCCTTCCTTATTCTCCTGGTAATCGAGTATAGGTTCATGAAGGATTCCTGGAGAGTAAAGTGTTTATTTCAAATAGTACCAACTCATCAAATCCATGTGAGAGAAGAAGTGTTGACCTAAGGATATATATGCTTTGTTTTCTTCCATTTATCATTCTTTTGGTCTTCATTCGTGAGCTGAAGAACCTATTTGTACTTTCATTCCTTGCCAATGTTTCCATGGCTGTGAGTCTTGTAATAATTTACCAGTATGTTGCTAGGGTAAGTATAATATGTTTTTAAGTACATGTGATATATTTCTAATTAAGTAAAATTTTTGTTCACTTTGGAGGTTAAAATAATGATGTGTGAAGACCCCTACTTCATATGTGACACACAATAGACAACCATATGTGACACACAATAGACAACCAGTGAATATGGTTTTCCTTTGGAGGGATACTGTGGAATTAGAAGTGTATGATATTGAGATTAAAACCACAGGCTTTGTCGTAATAACTGGTTTAGAATCTTTGTAGATATGCTTCTGGCTTTTGTGACACTGCTTCAAAAGATAGTAATGTCTACTCTGTTAGGGTTATTATGAAATTTAGGGTTGTGTTCTTAGTACAGTGCCAGACATGAAACAAGGAAGTCATCAAGTATTTTTTTTTCCTTTTAAAATTTAAACCAATCCCAAGAGATGTGCATATAGATGTAATTGTGTAATTTGCTCCTGAATCTTTATTTGCTACCGGTGGTTCAATAACCTTAACTGATTTCATGCAATAACCTTAACTGATTTCATTGTCCTTAGTTTGAGGATTCTTAATCTGGTTTCCTTAAAAAAAATATGTTGGTGGGATTCAGTGGATTGTAAATCCCTTAACATTGTTTACAGTATTTAGTGTTTCTGTATGTATATATGTGTTTTCTGCTAGTAACTCTATAGCTTTCATCTTGCAAAGGAACCAGTGACCCAAAAAATATTGGGAATCCCTGTTCTAGTCGCTCCTGATCTAACTCACCCTGTATATTGCTTCCAAGGTAATTGTTGTAAAATTTCCAGTAGCATTCATTACAAATTCTTATAGTGGATCTTTGCTTTATCTTCCTCCTTTCTGAATTTCAAAACCTGTAGTTTCTCTTGTAGCATATTATAGTGGAGGGGAACAGACAGGAAGATCACATAAGGTTTTCTGAAGTTCATGACCCCTTCACTGAACATAGGAGAATTAAGTGAAGCAGAAAAGGAAGTTCCCTAAGTAGACGGAACATCATGAGCTGATGTATGGAGAAGTGATACAGCATCCTACTTGCCTTGAATCATAGTTTAATATTGTCAAGTGATCCAAACATTGTAATACTCTTTTCATTCTAACCCTAGCTTATGTTTTTAGTCATGTATTGCCATTATATCACACAATTCTACCTGTACTTTAGATTTTCTAGACTTCTCTATTCCTTAGATTATCCATATGCTTTTGCACTTTAGTTGCTTTGTTCATCCTCTTTACTTGGCTTTGAATTCTATTTCCAGTCAGGTAAAGAAGAGAATGCAGGATGACAGGGAGAGTAGGGACCAGACTTGGGGTATCTGGAAGAAGTGGCTATTGTGGAGCCAGTGATCTTGAACCAGATGTACACTTTGTGAGTTTGTCCAGATAGTGAAAGTTGGAATAAGGCTATAAGCCAGGACCAAATAATCAAAGCCAGACTTGGGGTATATATTCAAATAATAAAGGTAATGGCAAATGTCAGATCACAGAGTAAGCATTGAAACCAGGAGACCCGTTCTAGGGAGCAGCAGAACTATGAGGTAGAAAGCTGAAGTCAGGAACCAGGTACTCAGAGAACTGAAAGAGCAATGAAGATAGAGTGGAGAGTGAATTTCTGTGGGGCACCAACAGCCACGGTTGATAGCTGACTCTATGGCTCTCAGTTCAGTCCTCAAGTTTGTTTACATATCTCCTGTTGTGGCAGGAGCCATCCTAGTGTGCACAGCCTGGGACTTGCAGATGAAAACAGGTAATCAGGACTATTTTGCTCAGATGGAATGTGTGGGCATGAAGGAAACAATTGCTTTTGGCAGTGAAATCCTAACAGCTTGGCTACATTTAACACAGGATCCTTAAAGTGTTTATTGAAATAGTTACTCACTTTTAGAACCCACATTTGCTGTTTGAAGCTCAAAAGTGTATGATTTTGCTCTTTCATTCAAAATTATTTAGAATAAGTAAAGATGTAACCCATCTTATGTTTTTTTTCTTTTCTTCAGAACATGCCAGACCCCCACAACCTTCCAATAGTGGCTGGGTGGAAGAAATACCCTCTCTTTTTTGGTACTGCTGTATTTGCTTTTGAAGGCATAGGAGTGGTAAGAACTTGGTCTTTGTTATTATTTTTTAAAATCTTAAGTCAGCACAAAGATTGAGATGGTCAAGCTATATTCAAATGCATGTTTTTCTTTTTTGTTTCAAGTTTCTTTATTCCTACAACACAACTTCTAGTTTGGTAGTATAGACTTGGATTATGTTTAGTTCTTCCACTAACCAAGAATTTAATCTTAGACATATCACTTAGGCTATGATTCAAATAATAAAGGTAATGGCAAATGTCAGATCATAGAGTAAGCACTGAAACCAGGAGACCTGTTCTAGTGAGCAGCAGAACTAGGTTCTCTAATTCTTTTTCTTTTTCTGTAAAATAAGGAAATTCAACTAGATTATTTTTGACATTTTATTATGGAAATGTTCAAGCCTATATCAAATTTAGAGGGTAATATAATTATCTCCCATGTAAGCATCACTCAGCTTCAAAGATAATTAACTCATGACCAATTTTAAAAAATCTATATCCCATGTACTCAAGCATATCCCAAACATAATAGTTTACAGACCAGATTATTTAAAGTGAATTGAAATAGTTGTAAAGTTACATAAGAAGAGTAAAACATAAATTCTCCCTTTAGTTTTATATATATCATGTTTGTTTTGAGAACCAATGCTATCATAAAGCTAATACCAAGAGATACAGCATTCTGAGAATTCTAAGAAATTAAATATTTCCATTCAGGATACTCTCAGTGTATTTAACACTTAGAATGTGTAGATTTGGGGAAAATAGAGTATTGCTCTCTACTTTGTTCCATAGCTTTCATAATCCGATGGTTTGCTGGGAGCAAAACCACTTGTAAATATCTATTTATATTAACCCTAGATAAAATAGATGTAAAAGAAAATATTCTTCCATTTTACTTGGGTTCTTCTCTCTCTGAATTCTCTTTTGGAGAATTCATAGAATTTTTTACAAATTTTTGCAGCTCTAGTTATCACTGTTGCAAACATAACTCAGGTTACCTCTTGGACACTTGGAGCTCTAGTTACCTATTGGACACTTCCAGTTGTGTTGTTTTTCTGACATCTCAAATTCAACATCTCCAAATTCTGACACATACTTACTCATCCAAAACCAGCTTTACGTTCTCATTTCCCTTTTTCTTTCAGTTTTGCTTTCAGTTGCCTGAGCTTGAAACATTGGAGTAGTTCTTTTAACTTTGACCTTGGTTTCCCATTTCAATCAGTGATTAAGGTTTGTTGGTTCTTCTTTTATATTTCTCAAATCTGTTCTATAAAGGAGATTATATGTAAAACACTTATTATGTTGCGTGACACAGAGGAAGCCTCAGGAGACATTAATTTCTTTCCCTTTCTCCTTTTCTAGCTACACTGGCACCATTCTTGGCCATTGCCCAGTATTTCAGTGTTGATTATCTCCAGAGCATCCAAACTCTTCTCTACTCTCTTTTCTACTATAATAGTTAATGTCCGCATATGAAACTAACTTTCACAAAAACTGGGGAACTATTAGATTATCATCTCCCAGGACTATTGTGAGGACTGCATAAGATGCTGCATCCAGGGCTTTTAGAATAATACCTGGCATGTTATAAATACTCAGTAAATACTTGCTGTTATTATTACTTAATATCTTCTGCTATATGGCCAAATTATAGGGCCAAACCTCTGAAGATTTGCCTAAAAAACTTGTTTTTTTTAAATCAGCCTTTTCTTATTTTCTTTAGAGTTTCCTTTTTTAGAAAAATAAAATTTGTTTGTTTTACTAAAATTGACAGACAGTAGATACGAATGGATAGATGTGGAGACACTTACAGATATGCTTGTATACATGGGTTAGTATACATACTCTGTCTCCTGAGAGAGACTGCAAGCAGTGATATCCCATTCTCAACAAAAGAACCAATGTCCTATGGAGAGATGGCTGATTTTAGGGCTGAGGCAAGGAAATTCAAGATGAGTCTGGAGAATCTTGTAGTGCCAGAAGGTAAGGGAGTATTCAAAAAACAAAAGAATGGAGGCATTTAGAGGGACACAGAAGCCAACCTGATATAATTCACAATGGCCGGAGCTGGAACAATATGAGTAACAAAATAAATAACAGCGCATTGGATTATAAATCATTGTATAAAAAAAATACATGAGTTTATACTAATATAAATAAATAATTAAAATAAATACAAAGGGAAGAATCCCAAATAATTTATATACATACTCCTCCCTCCAGAATATAACTAATCTTTCCTTAGTTCTCTGAGAATGGACTGGGTTTAGAGACCTATTTTCAATAAACAGAGTATAAGATGAGGGAAGAAAAGTAATTTTGTAGCAGAGAAACCTAGCAAGCACCCAGTGATCAGAATTAACATCACCGGTGTAAATCATCATAATAACATGTGTGATGAAGGGGAACTTCATCTTTGTGATATTATTCTCTAAAACCTACAATCCTAGTCCAGTCAGAAGAAAATCATCAGTCAGATCTAAATAGAGAGTCATTGTGCAACATATCTAACCAGCAGTCCTCAAGACTGTCAAGATTATGAACAGCAAGCAAAGACTGAGAAACTATCACAGACTAGAGGGTCTGGAGACAGAATGCACTGTGGTATCCTGCATGGGTCCCTGGAACAGAAAAAGGACATTAATGGAAAAACTAGTGAAATTCTAATGAAGCTAACAGTAAAGTACCAATGTTGATTCTTGTTTGTAAGAGATGTACCGTTGCAACATACAAAGTTAACAGCAGGGGAAACTGAATCAGGTATATGGGAGCTCTCTGTGTTAACTTTGCAACTTTCTGTAAATCTAAAAGTATTCTAAAATAAAAAGATTATTTAAGGAAAGAACTGATAGGTTTGACAGGTTTGCTTGCAAAGAGCTGAGTTTAAGTGTTTTTTAAGAATTAAAAAATATGTAGTGTAAAAAAGATATAGCAATAGAAATTTACTTCAGCAATTATATGGGTTGTTTTAAAGGAAAAGGTTTGCATATAGACTATAAAAAGACTAGGTTGTGTGTATTAAGAGACACAATGTTATTCTGAATTACTTTTGTAGTGTTGCCTTTAAAATATCAATTTATTTTTTTGTAGGTCCTTCCACTGGAAAACCAAATGAAAGAATCAAAACGCTTCCCCCAAGCATTGAATATTGGCATGGGAATTGTTACAACTTTGTATATAACATTAGCTACTTTAGGATATATGTGTTTCCGTGATGAAATCAAAGGCAGTATAACTTTAAATCTTCCCCAAGATGTATGGTAGGTGGATATGAGCTTAATACTAGTTTATATGTTTTATAGTTATAATTTATCAATATTTGATGATAAAGGTGTATTCTTGGATTTATGGTTTAAGGGTTTAAAATTTTTACTGTGATTTATTTGTGTAACCTAGGATTTTTTTTGTAATCCTCAGGGAAGACCATATATGAATCACCAGAGGAGACCATGTATGAATTTTGTGGGATTTTTTAAAAGGCCATCCTAATGGAGCAAAGAGCAATTATCTTTAACAAAAGCTTTTTTTTTTTTTTTTTAAGTTTTCAAACATAGTTTATTAGAGAAAGAGGAGAGAAAAGAAAGGGAGGCATGCCAGAACTGGCATGGGTGAAAGAAACTAACAAAACTTTTTTTAAAAATTGTAGTTTTTCTAAATTTGAATCAATTATTAGAATAAGACATGAATTCTTTTAGTGTGGACTCTATGTATTTACTTATTTTAAAGATGTGGGGTACACTTCAGGGTTAGGTATACAAATGTTCATTATGCAGGTACCCTTGTTTTTTAAATTATTTTTAAATTATAAATATATGGGGTACAATTCAGGCTTAGGTATACAAACGTTGATTATGCAGGTACCCTTGTTGATGAGGTGTGCCCCTCCCTTCCCTGGCAGTTTCCCTCAACTGCCAATCCACCTCCCCTCTCCCCCTGCCCCCCGACAGTTTCCCATTACTGCCAATGCATTTCTTTTTTTTTTTTGAGTTGGAGTCTCACTCTGTCGCCCAGACTGGAGTGCAGTGGCCGCTCCCGGCCACCGCAGCCTCGGCCTGCTGGGCTCCGGCGATCCTTCCACCTCAGCCTTCCGAGTAGCCGGAATTACAGGCATGCGCCACCACGCCCAGCTGATTTTTTTGATTTATTGTAGAGATGAGGTCTCGCTACCCAGGCGGGTCTCGAACCCGCGGGCTCAGGCAATTCACTCACCTCAGCCTCCCAAAGGCGCGGGATTACAGGCTGAGCCACCGAGCCCAGCTGCCAATGCATTTCTTATAGTATTATGATAATTGTTCAAGATACACTTATAAGTGAGAACATGTGGTATTCTGTTCTTTGTTTCTGTGATAGATCACTGAGTATGATAGACTCTAAATCCATCCAAGTTGCTGCAGAGTCCTTATGTTTGTCCTTCTTTATGGCTGCATAATATTCCATCGTGTATATGTACCACATTTTTTAAAATCCAGTTCAGCTTTGATGGGCAGCATGGTTGGTTCCATGTTTTTGCTATTGTGACTAGAGCTGCAACAAACATATGTGTGCAGGTATCTTTTTTGTAGAATGATTTGAGTTCCTCTGGGTATATTCCCAATAGGGGGATTGCTGGATCATATGGAAGGTCAATTTCTAGTTCTTTCAGAAATCGCCACACTGTCTTCCAAAGAGGTTGCACTAGTTCGCATTGCCACCAGCAGTGTAGAAGTGTTTGTTTTTCTCCGCATCCTAGCTAGCATCTTTTGTTGTTTGTTTTATTAATGGTGGTCATTCTTACTGGGGTTAGGTGCTATCTCAATGTGGTTTTGCTTTGCATTTCTCTGATGATGAGTGAGGCTGAGCACTTTTTTATGTGTCTGTTGGCTGCCTGTATATCTTCTTTTGAGAAGTGTCTATTCATGTCTTTTGCCCACTTTTTAATGGGGCTTTTTTTTTTTCCCTTTCAGCATGTTTGAGTTACTTATAGATCCTAGATGTTAGACCTTTGGTATACAGTTGGCAAATATTTTTTCCCATTCTGTTGGCTGCCTCCCTGCTCTCTTGATGGTTTCTTTTGCTTTGCAGAAGCTCTGGACTCATTTTAATACAAAAATTAATACCAGTCCTTATTGCCAAAAAAATAAGCATTCTGAGTTCCTGATTAAATAATCTAATCCATCATTTATGGTCCCTGCTGTTTTACTGGCCACCTTCATATTATATGTTCCCCAAGTCCTTCAGAACCCAGTTCAGAAACATTATAAATAATAAAATGGTGCATCTTAATGCTCTCTTTAGTATTAGAATCATATTCTGCTAAATAAAGAAATATATATGATTTTTCTTTTTTCCAGAGGTAGATTTTTGGGAAATGTGAAGAGATATTGGCAGTGATTATCATACGGACATATTCCCTTATTTACAAAATAGAAGGCAATGCAAAGGGTAAATGCTAAATTGCTAATTGAATTAGTATCACGCTACTCCTTTAGCTACTTAGGTAGAAATCTGTGAAACCTTAAATGTCTCATCATATTAGTTAGAATCAAAAACAGCTGAAATTATATCTTCTGGCTGACTTTCTGATGAGAATTTTTCTACTGTCTAATAATCATTTGCATCCTGACCATTTATTAGAGTCAAAAATGCTGTTAGGACAGATGTATGTAGGAAGCTATTTATGACAAGTGAATGTGCCTAGGATAGTTTCCAGGTTGCACAAGGGGCACACATGCAGTGTGTTTATTATCATTTTTATTTTTATTTTATTTATTTATTTTTTATGAGTTGGAGTCTCACTCTGTCATGGTTAATTATATAATTTTGTATCCTTCAGATGTGCTTTTTTTTTTTATAATATGAAACTGGGTACTTACTGGACTAGAAGCTTAAACAGCTTAGTGTAAGAAAATCAAGGCCCAAAATATGGTAGTATAGTTTATCTTTTTAAATACTATTCAATGTCTAGAACATAGAATATTTTCCCCACATGCAATAACGTTTAAATATTAAATATTACACTAAATCTTAAAATAATAATTTTATTAATACATTTGACAAGTATTTTTAATATCAAATATAAAATCTAGCTGGAAACAATTTTAGCAATCTTTCCTGCACTTATTTACAAAAGGAATATTTACAAAAGGACGATCTCATAGGAGAAGGGACTGAGTGGGAGTGTACACACATTCAAGTTAAGAGGTTCCATCCCAAGCCAGTTAAGAACATGGCGAAGGAACAGGGGCAAGGATAACAGAGAATGCTTTTGCTATCCACAACTCATTCTTGAGGGGTGACAGTCACTCTAATCAGTTCTTCCCTTTCCCTACAGTCCCTTCCTGCTTCTCACCCTGGTCCCAATTGTCCCAAACTAGTTGCAACTCTGGCTTAAAATGGGACTATTACATCATAGTTTCTATTCAAGAAACTCTATCTATACATACAGTTTCATTAGAGAAAAGCCTAGAACAAGTATCCTAAGAAACAACAAAAATATGGAAAAAAAAACAGGAAAATAAGTCAGGATAAATATTTTCCCTTAGGGAATATGTGTCGCTTAATTCCTTTTCATTGTGGAGATATGCCTTATGTAGCCTGTAGTCTATTTCTTTGTGGTCTCTGCAGTTGTAGGATGTTAAAATAACAGTCACAGCTAAGGTGTATGGGAGAACAGCTGCTTGTCTTTTTACAGAAATGGTATTCTGTAAAATGAGAAGTTTGGATTAGACTAATCATAGGATTATATCTAAGACTCTTTTAAAAAAGTTTTTATTTTAAATATGTGGGCTACAATCTAGGGTTAGGTGTACAAATGTTCATTATGCAGATACCCTTGTTGATGAGGTGTACCTCCTCCCCCTGCAGTTTCCCACTGCTGCCAATCCCTTTCTTATAGTATGACAATAGTTGTTCAAGGTCCGCTTATGAGTGAGAACATGTGATAATCGGTTTTTTGTTTCTGTGATATTATAGCCTCAAAGTCCGTCGAAGTTGCTGTGAAGTTCATAATTTTGTCTTTCTTTATAGCTGCATAATATTTCATCTTGTTATGTACCACATTTTTAAAACTTGTCCAACTTTGATGGGCAGCATGGTTGGCTCCATGTTTTTGCTAATGTAAATAATGCTGCAGTAAACAGGCATGTGCAGGTATCTTTTTCATAGAGTGATTTGAGTTCCTCTAGGTATATTCCCAGTAGGGGGATTGTGGGGTCATATGGGAGGTCGACTTTTAGATCTTTTAGGAATCGCCACACTGTTTTCCACAGAGGCTGTACTAGTTTACACTCCCACCAACAGTGTGGAAGTGTTTCCTTTTTGCCACGTCCTCTCCAGCATCTGTTGTTTTTTGAGTTATTGGTTATGCCCATCCTGAATGGAGTTAGGTGGTATCTCAGTGTGGTTTTAATTTGCATTTCTTTGATGACTAGTGATGCCGAGCATTTTTTAATGTATCTGTTGGCTGCTTGTATGTCCTCTTTTGAGACATGTCTATTCATATCTTTTGCCCACTTTGTAATGGAGCTGTTTGTTTTTTTTCTTTTTGGCACGTTGGAGATCCTTGCAGAGCGTAGATTAGGCCTTTGTCAGATATACAGTTGGCAACTATTTTTTTTCCTCTTCTATGGGCTGTCTCCCCACTTTCTCAATGGTTTCTTTGACTTTGCAGAAGTTTGGCAGTTTGGTGACCTTTAAGCCTCAAGCTGAGAAATGCATCCTTAGCTAATTTTTAATTTAAAGTTGTATTATTGCTAGCCCTAAAAAGTTCCTTCTTTCCTAATTATGGCATGTGCTTTCAAATCTATTTCTACTTAGCTTTTTTACTTCTTCTAACTCACTTTTATGATAAATATGTACAAGAGGAGACTTACTGAATTTTCTTTTTGATTGGCCACAGTTTAGAGAATGGTTTATAGTCCTTGCTTCTTTGTCTTGAGACAGCAGAAATAAATTTAAAGCCTAATTAGTGTTGAAATTCTTTACCAAAAGTAAAATACTTTATATCCTTTTAAAATGATTGCATATTTTTCTAAGAAAGAAAACACTCTTCCTTGAGCTTAGGATTCTTAGGTGGGAAAGGAGAAGTCTTAGGTGGAAAGATCATGGCCATCAGTGATGTTCCTGCTGAAAGAGGACGTGTGTTCATCACTGCCCCAAATGCTGTGGCACATTCAATATACAGTCTCCCTTCTACTTTGTTTCTTTAAAAAGTACAAGAGGGATTAGGTTTTTCTTTTGAGTGGTATACAGTTATTTTAAATATTTTTACAAAACACAGCATAGTAATTTTATTATGCCCCAAACTTTGGCATGCATGTTCAAGCTTCCATACTTGACAAAATGAATTATCCATATGTCATCAAGAAATCTAGTTAGTGGAGATGAGCTGACTTTTTTATAAACAAGTATTTAGTGTTCTGGATTTTTAAATTTATCTTAATGTTAAAAATAAGGAGGAAAGCTAGATTTATAGTAAGATTGACTAAGTTTTGAAATTTTTTTCCAACAGGTTATATCAATCAGTGAAAATTCTGTATTCCTTTGGCATTTTTGTGACATATTCAATTCAGTTCTATGTTCCAGCAGAGATCATTATCCCATGGATCACATCCAAATTTCATGCTAAATGGAAACAAATCTGTGAATTTGGGATAAGGTCTTTCTTGGTTAGTATTACTTGTAAGTATCACTATATGTTTATATCATAATAATTATCTTATTGTTGAATTTCTTAAAATGAAAGCTACTTAAAGTATATTTTCAATATTTTAAAAACAATTTTACTTACCCAGCTGGGATATTTTGGGGTTAAAATTCTGTTTTTCTACTTCTATATAAGAAAAATGTAAACTAGATCCATCACACTTAAAAGAACTAAGCAGATTATTTTGAAAATGACATTAGTGTTGATTAAAATCAGTTACACAAGGAATCCCTTACATTGTTGATACACATTTGATTTTGGTTCTCATTTTCCTCAGGTTTTTAAATTTCTCCTAACATTTGTATATTAAACAGTTTAATTCCCCATGACTGTCTACAAGAGAGGATTTTATTTTATTCATGTTGGTCTTTAATAATTTCAGTAGTTCCGGGCTCGGTGGCTCAGCCTGTAATCCCACACCTTTGGGAGGCTGATGTGAGTGGATTGTCTGAGCCCGCGGGTTCAAGACCCACCTGGGCAGCGAGACCTCATCTCTACAATAAATCAAAAAGTCAGCTGGGCGTGGTAGTGCATGCCTGTAATTCTAGCTACTCGGAAGGCTGAGGCGGAAGGATTGCCGGAGCCCAGCAGGTCAAGGCTGCGGTGGCCAGGAGTGGCCATTGCACTCCAGTCTGGGCGACAGAGTGAGACTCCAACTCAAAAAAAAAAAAATTAATAATAATAATTTCAGTAGCTTATTTTCTTATTATTTGAAGGAGTGTATATAATCTCATATTAAGGTTTCACACCATAAAATGCCTTCCCAAGGCAGCGTTAATAATGGAGACTTATGGAGAGGGAGTTTGAATTTGGTATAATAGAAAGAGGGTGAATTTTGAGTCACACAGACCTGGAGGTTGAACCTCAAGCCTGCTTGCTGTTACCTTTAGGCAAGTCACATACCATAGTTGAGTCCCCCTTTCTTCAACTATGAAATGATGCTGTCTTCCTTGTGGCATTTTTGAGAGTTTTAAAAATAATATTAACACAATAGCTGGAAGTTATTATCATTTTCACCATTATTATAACCACAAATATAAAGGTGACTGCATCACCAAACTAACCTGAGATTGCCTAAAATGATACAAGGGATCAGATTACTATTGTCCTGAGAAACAAGCAACTTTTGGAAACTCTATATGTAAGATATTAATAACTATCTTGTACTATTCAAGGTTAGACAATATAGAGCTAGAAATTTTAGGCAACTTTATATGTAAATTGCATTGAGACCAGGTAGAGTGGCTCATACCTGTAATTCCAATGCTTTGGGAGGTCAAGGCTGGAGGATTACTTGAGACTAGGAGTTTAAGACCAGCCTGAGCAACATGGCAAGACCCCATATCTATAAACAAACAACCAGACAACAATGTACCAGATGTGGCAGTGCATGCCCATAATCCCTGCTACTGGAGAGGCTGAAGCAAGAGAATTACTAAGCTCAGAAGTTTGAGGTTGCATTGAACTGTGATTTTGCCACTGTCCTCCAGTCTAGAGAAGGAGACCCTGTTTCTGGAAAATTTAATGCTTTGAGGAGCTTGGGATGGAGCTTATGTCTAGATTTAAAGAATTGATTGTGTTGCATTTATTTTGAAAATATTGAGAGCCACCACTAAAAATTAAGAAGTAGAGAAATCAGTGGACTGTAAACTGAAGACTAAATTACAAAGAAGACAAATTCAATATATATATTATACACACACACACACACACACACACACACACACACACACACACACACACACACATATGAAATAGAAATAGAGGATAACAACAATCAGAGATAAAATGTTAGTTATGAAGACAAATAAAGGAGAACCAGCACATGCATAACTGGAATCACCAAAAAATGACCTGTGGTTATATAATAGTCATTGTAGGCTGTGGTGATGTAGTTATCACAGCAAACTCAGCTGTTATTTCTGGTGGCAACTCCAAACCCTCAACATATCAATTAACAAAACATTTAAGAACAATTTAAAGAAATAATATGGGTCTTAACAAATCTTCTGTTGACACATTTTAGTAAATCAATATAAGATCAAGAAAGCACCAGACCAAAATGACAGAAAACTTGTCAATAATTTGAAAGAAAATTCTGCTGACCATAGTGGAGTACGATTTTTTTAACTTCTCAGTTTGAAGTAATTCAGACAGAAAAGTTATAAAAGAAAGTAGTTACCATATACCCTTTACTCAGCTTCCTGTGATGTTAAAAGCTTACATAGCCACAATACAGTTGTTAAAACCAGAAAATTAACATGGATACAGTGCTATTAACTACACTATAGGTCTTATTCTAATTTTGCCAGTTTTCTCACTTATATCCTTTTCTGGTCCAGGAGATAATCCAAGGTCCCATTTGACTTTAGCTTTCATGTCTGCTAGTTTGTTCCAATTTTGACAATTCTTGCCTTTGTCTTTCTTGACCTTGACACTTTTGAAGTGTCAGTAATTTTGGAGAATATTTTCCATTTGAATTTTTCTGATGCATTCTTATGATTAGATTGAAATTAAGCATTTCTACCAAGAATCCCACAGAAGTGATGCTATGAACTTTTCAGAGTATCCCATCATGGTATCAGCATCTTATTGGTAATGTTAACTTTGTTTTTACTTGGTTACTTGCATACTTACTTTGCTGACATATTTCTGCATTGTAAAGGTATGAGTTTTCCCTTTATAATTAGTAAGTGTCTTATAGGAAGATACTTTGAGACTGTGCACATATTCAGATCTCATTTATCTTGAGATCACTTTGAGTCCAAGAGTTCCAGGCCACTAATTTTACCATCTTTCAGTGATTCTTCCTGCCCGATGTTTATTGTGATCCTTAATAATGATTTGTTTCCATGGTTCCTTCTATTTTGGCTAATTGGAATTCTGTAAGGAATAGCTGTCTCTTCTCCCCAGTTTATTTATATCATGCTACTTCATGTTTTGTGCATTATTGAACAGTATGGCAGGCAGAATAGTGCAGATGCTTTGGAAATAAACTATCCAGACTTTTTTGCTCAGACTTATACAGCCAAAAAATTAAAAAATTAAATTTTGCTCAGACTTATACAGCCAAAAAATTAAACTTCCACTGTTGACAAGTGGAAGTCCAGGGAATGTTACTGTCTTTGTTTCTTTTTTTTCTTTTAGTTTAGAACAAAATATGGCCGATTTTACAAGCAGCAGTTTAGTAGTCTGATACTGTTAGTATTGAAAGTGTCTGCCTTTAGTATCCACTTAAGCACTAAACATGTAAGTAAGAAAACTTTATATTTTCACTTTCTAGGTGCTGGAGCGATTCTTATTCCTCGTTTAGACATTGTGATCTCCTTCGTTGGAGCTGTGAGCAGCAGCACCTTGGCTCTGATCCTACCCCCTTTGGTTGAAATTCTTACATTTTCTAAGGAGCATTACAATATATGGATGATCCTAAAAAATATTTCTATAGCATTCACTGGAGTTGTTGGGTTCTTATTAGGTACATATGTAACTGTTGAAGAAATTATTTATCCTACTTCCAAAGTTACAGGTGGCACTCCACAAAGTCCTTCTCTAAGTTTTAATTCAACATACTTAACATCTGGTTTGAAATAGTAGAAACAGAGCTATGGGACTTCTACTTCTGTCTCAATTCTGAAAATGGTTAAAATGAGAACTAGTAAAATGCAATGCTATATACTTAAAAATAGTACCAAACTCTGTTGTCTTTTGACACAATATTAATATTTTGGCAGGAATTGTTATTCTTTGCCAATAGTGGTAAACTACAACAGAGCCTAAGTTTTGAGTGTTAGCAATAATTCAAAAAATGAAGTTTTGAAAATTGAAAAAACTTTAAATGTAAAAAAAATAAAGAATAAAATTACTTATATTATTATTTGAGTCACTAAGAAATAATTTAACCAAGATTTCTCTTTTACACCATGCTGTAATGGTAGTTGATCTTCATAATAATAATAAAGAGGCCCTGTACAAGTTTCTGACTTAATGTTTCCATCAGATTCCAAAAGGACTTTAAAGGTTTTCCAGTATTGCTGCCTTATTTTTTATCAGAGGAAATGGAGACCCAGAAGGCCAAGTAACGTGACCAAGACCACTTAGCCTTGAGATCAAAAGACCCTGGTCTTCTGACTCCCAAGCCAGGATTTTTTATTTTTCACATCATGTCCAAGAAAAGGAGTAAATTGTGTTCAGTTTAGTTTTAGTGTCGAGTCTATTTAATTGTATTTTAATACTTTGAAAGTGGGTGCATGATCTTGAGCAGAAAATCAGAGAACTCTAAGAAGCCTGCATTATGGCAATATATACCTCAGCAAGGGAAAGAAGCAATGTTCTTTTTAAACAGAGTGAAGACCACTTGCTGATGTAACTGCTGGCTGATAGAATGTGCTCAGCTACATGATTTGTGGCTTGAGCTCTTTTTATTGGTTCTTCCCTTTCCTGGGTTTTATTAGCATTGTAATGGCAGAAAATAGGTATCTCACAAAATAGGGTTTGTAGTCTTTATCCCTGTGACTTTGCTTATCACAGCCTTTTATTAGTCTGAGTGGATAGAATAAAAGAACCACAGCTGGGTGTGATGGCTGACTCCTGTAATCGTAGTACTTTCAGAGACCAAGGCCAGAGGATTACTTGAGGCCAGGAGTTTGAGACCAACCTGGACGACATAGTGAGACCCCCATATCTTAAAAAAAAAAAAAAATTAGCCAGACTAGTATGTGCCTGTAACCCCAGCTCCTCAGGAGACTGAGGCAGGAGGATCACTTGAGTCCAGGAGTTCAAGGCTGCAATGAACTATGATCATACCATTGCACTCTAGCTTGGGTGACAGAGTGAGACCCTGTCACTAAAACATACCTAAAGGCCGGGTGCAGCGGCTCAAGTCTGTAATTCCAGGACTTTGGGAGACTGGGGCGAGAGGATTGCCTGAACCCAGGGGTTTGAGAACAGCCTGGGCAACTTGGTGAGACTATGTCTCTACAATATATCAAAAAATTAGCCCGGTGGGGTAACCACTTAACTCTGCTATCAGGAATACCAATGTTAGAAATGATGAGGGGGCTGAACATAGTAGCTTATGCCTGTAATCCCAGCACTTTGGGAGGCAAGGTAGGAGGATCGCTTGAAGCCAGGTGTTCAAGACCAGTCTGGCAATATATTGAGATCTGTCTCATCTCTACAGTAAATCAAAAAATTAGCCAGACATGGTGGCACGTGCCTGTAGTTCTAGCTACTTGGAAGGCTGAGACAGAAGTCTTGCCTGAGCCCAGCAGGTCGAGGTTGCAGTGGCCGTGAATGTACCACTGCACTCCAGCCTGGGTGACAGAGTGAGACTCTTGACTCAAAAAAAAAAAAAAAAAAAAGCCTAAGCAGAACCATAAACCATAAAGGGGATTCATGCTTATTGAGACAATAAGAAACTGTACACTAAATTATTGAGATAGTTAAGGCTTTTTTTAGAAAAGTACCTTCCATTTTATTTTCTTCAAGCCCAGTTATTACTAAAATAAAGAATCTCAGTTGATGGGGAAGATAAAAATTATTAAGTTTGAAACATTAAGAATTAAGAATAGGACTGTCATCTGACCTTTTAAAAAATTCTTGCTTTAAAATATGAACTTTTTAACCAGGCTGGTGGTACTCTAGTTTGTACTACTACAAGATATTAAGATCATTATAGTCTCTATTTTTATATGAAATTTTAACTTATTTCTGGTATTTTTGCTTGCATTGTTAATTGATCATCAAGCAATCCTAAAGATACATTAGAAGCTTTATTTTCTTTCAAATTCATAATAATCAAAACTTTATATGTTTGCATTAAATGTCATCAATAATTGTGATACTTTTATATCAAATCTGTTACACGAGTCTTTAGTTATACTAAGAATGCAGAAGTTACAGGAAAAGTAATCTTCACTGAAAATATTATGTAATCTTGAATCTAAGATTAAATTTGGTGTTTTTAAAATTTTATAATGGTATGAAATGAATTGAAAATCATTATTTAATAGAAAGTGATATTAGGGTTTTGTCAGCTCTTTAGGCATTTCTAGTCCATGTGATTTTATTTTTGTATGTTCACCTGTTTGTTTTCCTTATAGAATTCATCAAATGTAATAAAATTCTGAACAATTGATCATAGTAATACATTTTAAAATTCAACACAGACACATCTTGAGCATATCATCAAGCCTGGGTGACAGAGTGAGACTCTTGACTCAAAAAAAAAAAAAGCCTAAGAAGAACCATAAACCATAAAGGGGATTCATGCTTATTGAGACAATAATAAACTGTACACTAAATTATTGAGATAGTTAAGGCTTTTTTCAGAAAAGTACCGTACATTTTATTTTCTTCAAGCCCAGTTATTACTAAAATAAAGAATCTCAGTTGATGGGGAAGATAAAAATTATTTAGTTTGAAACATTAAGAATTAAGAATAGACTTCCTTATGCAATGAGAATGATTAATCAATATCCAGTACTAAATTTACTAAATTATCAGTACCTTAAATATAAGACAGAGTTGAAATAGTAAGAAGGGCTAGAAATAAGAGGGACTAGAAAGGGATAAAGTAATTTTAATTCTCAACAAGAAACACTGTTTAGATGGAAAGTGTAAGTGCACTCTTATTAAGGATATTTGATGATATGTTTTATTTGCAAAATAATCAGTGAGTAATATTTTTTCTGAAAATTTGTTTTTAATGAGTCATAAAATTTTCTGAGGATTTTGGAGAGGATATATTGATTATACTAACTGTTGCTTTTATTTGGGGGTTGAAGAAAGAAGAAATTGTACCTGTCAGATTTTGTACCTGACCTCTTTTGGATCATCCCATTGTGGCTAAAATAACTTCAGCATTATATCTGCCAACACAGTGGAGAACTCATCTCTGAAAGTTAGTCTGTTGCCCAAGAGCCTTTTCTGCTACTGAGGGGGAAGAAAGGAAAGCTTTGTTTACCTTTGATGAGCTCTGTTCTAAGTCAGTCATCACTGTTCCCTTACACCCAATAATTCCATCAGTATCAGAGTCAGCTTGTCAAAACACTGGTTCTTGGACAGTTTTTTCAGTGGATCTTCTTTTCCTCACATGGCCAGATTTCTTCACACTTAAAGAAATAAGAACTGAGGATTTTTCTTGATTAAAGTCCAATTTAGATGGTGTTACTAAATGAGAATAAGTACTGTATCAGCAAATGCCATATTATATTTAGTTTTATCCTCACAAAATTTCCTTTATTAAAACTATTTCTGCCTCTCCTCTACATGATGTACTTGCAAATGCCATGTTATATTTAGTTTTATCCTCACAAAATTTCCTTTATTAAAACTATTTCTGCCTCTCCTCTACATGATGCACTTGCATATCTAACAAGCATTTTATGACAATTTATGTGTGAATTTCCTATGTCTAATTTTATTCAGTATTTTCATAATAGCTTCATAAAAATGTCTTTAACTGAAAATACTATAAAATATTGGTTGAAATAGTAAAGGTCTGTATTAGTGCCATTTCTAACTGTAGCAAAGCATGGGTCTTGCTGTAGCTTACCTGTAGTATTCACCACAGATGTTAATACAGTATCTGAGTAGTACATTTTTACTGACAGTTATACCCAATTAGATCTTGACCTCACTTCTCTTTTCTTCATTCAAAAGGTAGAAGATGCAGCATAGAGCTAATGGAAATAATAGATAAAATCATTCAAATAACATTAGTGGCTCAATTAATGCTATCTATTGAGGAATGAAATAATTTGGTAAAAATACAGATCATCGATTATGTAAAACTAAAATTACTTTTTTTAAATGAGTATTTTGATCTTTTTGGCTCATCCAGCTTCCCTTTACAAGAAAATTTGAGAAACTTTGACTTAAAAAAGTATAGTAAGATTTGTCCTATCATTAAATTGTTGGCTGTAATAGTTGATACTTTGGCAGCATTATGGTTAATCTTATTTATGCCATTAGAGCTTACTAGCTAGACACCTTTCTGAAACTGGTTTTGACCTAGGAGGTAAGAAAATATGATTAAGAAATGGCTAGAAGTGCTGTTTATTTTCCTATGTTAAGTAAAATGGCAAATCACTCTGACTCTTAAAATTTCATATTAACATTGTCTAGTTCCTTTATGCATGTATATACATGTATACACAGACATATCAATAATCTATGTGAACCTAGATACTAATACTAATTTACTATTTAAATTTGGTTCAGAAAGATGTTGTTTTGAAAAGATCACTCTAAAAATTGCTCCATTAGAATGTTCTCAATAATGAATAGGAAAATATATATATTTATACTATGAATGAATAAATTAAGCTGTGGATTTTTATGTTCTTCAGAATGATTTTGTTATTTTGAATGAAAACTGTCATTACACTTGAGTCAATTCTTTTAACTTATTTTTCTTTCTAACTATGAAAAAATCTGTCTTGAGGTATTGTAACTTTTCTGAATTTTCAATAAAATATTTTGCTTGCAATGGCCTTTTTGCAAATTTGTCTTTTATAAGATTAAATGACATTAATAAATATGTTAGAAATGGAAGTAGTGTAATATTCTCATAACAAATAACATTTTAACCAGTCTTTATAGTTAATTCATC